ATATATATTATATATATAATATATACATATATAATATATATATTATATATATATACACGAAACATCAAATGACGTAACTTTTGATTCTAATTGTTAAAAAATATCAAATTGCAGTGATATGCGTATTTATTTTTTGTTCGGTTAGTAACAAGCTGCATTTGTTTCAGCTGGCGACGTCAGACTTGCATCCGAACAATAAGTGCAAGCGGAGTTCGAGGTGATGTTATTTACTATGCACCATGTGGTAAAAAACTTGGTTCATACGCTGAAGTGACGCGGGTATGTGTTCAAGATTTGAATAAATTTTTCTAATGTAAAGGTCGACTACTTGAACACAGCTCGAAGTTTATAAGGTGATGGAGAAAAGTTTTCCAAATTAAAGAGAATAGGTTTTATATTAGGATATGGGAAAAAAGAAGTCCCTGCTTTATTTCAGTACCTTACAAAGAAGAATATCAAAGATATCGGCAGAGAGAATTTCAGCTTCAGCTGTAAGGTTATTGTTGGTGAGTACATCTTGTTCAAAGATGATGAAGATGGTTCAAAGGTCAGATATGTTTTTGTTTAATTCCTATAGTTCAATTTTGTCTTCCCGGCTCGTTATTTTTTGAACATTTGTTCTGTCACTCAGTTCTTGCCTTTTTTGTCCACTGCATACTTTCCCGATTGTGATCTGATACTGAGATTTATTATTGTCTTTTTGATGCGGATTTCCTTTTTTATTTCCTTATTTCTAGGTTCCTGACAGGGTATCGGAAGAAAGAATTCTGGCAGAAATTGCTAACTGTTCTGCTACCAACACTGTTCGTCGAACGTCTGGTACCCATATGAAAGCAACCCTTTCTTCGGGAACAACCGATCTTCCTGGAACAGTTGGTGAGCTTGAATTCTCAGCTTAATGAGTTTTTCAGCTTTCCATAGCGCCAAAACACAATGATAATTTAAGTAACAGAGTTGAAGTAACCTGCCAAAGGCTAACCATAGTTTGATATGTCAGCTTGTCTGATGTGCAACGTTATAACTATCGAAACAGCATCGGCACTCAAGAGTATAATGAAGCACATAATTGTCGAGCTTACTGCCCAAGCTTATTGGTGCATACGCATAAGATTCTAAATCATACCAAGTATACAAAAGATATATGATTTATTTCATAATTCATTGAAGCCCCATCAGCTGACAAGAATTTACTGAAATTGACTGAGGATAATGCACTGAAACAATTGCATCGCCAACTCCTGCGACGTCAGGGAGAACAGCAAATGTATGCGCAGCTATTGCTTACTTTCGTGAGTTTTTTTAAAGGTTTTCTCCTCCCCAATTTTTCTGAGCTGAAAATTTCAGAAAATAGATTTGAATAAGCTAAAAAAGTCTCATGTGAGATGGCTTAAATACCGGTACTTGCTTTTATACAAATTCACACTCGCATCCAACTATGGATATACTTGCATCTAACTGTGGGTGTAATGTAGGTGTAATCATTTGGAAATCGAGGGATATCTTTATGGATCTTTTTAAAAAGTCAGTAGGACATTCCACTCATTTTATCACTGATAGGCTTCAATAAGTGAAAATGGAATGAAACGGTCACTTGAAGGTTGATATCGATATATATTTCAAATGATCCAGGTGTGGTTGTAATCTCGTATGATCACAAGAAGGTGTATTACTTGAGTGGCTATTCCTAGCAGTTTTAATGATAGGGAGAAAATAAGAAAATACGAAATTAGATTTATTTTGAGGAACTTGTTCGAATATTTGTTGGATCACTTGAATGTTTAATTTAATCATCTGTTTTTTCTACTTTGTCCTTTTAACAGTTATTTCATTCATTTCATCTCTTTTTCTGATCTCAGGGTCAGCACGTTCAACAACAACAGCAACGCCATTTTCATCAGCAGCAACAACAACAACAAAAACAGCAACCATCGCTTATTACAGTGGAGGGGAAATCAGCAGCTGAAGTGGAACCTGAAATCAAGAGACCTAAAGTACTCATTTATTGCTCCCTAGCCTCTTTTCTACTCCGCATTAAATTAGGACAGATAATCGACTTCTTTATTTTGACTGGTATTCAATTTCTTCAAACATCGCCTCCTTATTAACTATAAGTTTAGATAGATGAATCTGAGTCAACAACATCACGGCACACAACACCCTCAGTCATACCAGTTGCAACTTCCTTAATTTCTAGTACTGCTAGTAATATTATTCCTTCTCATATTGTTACCACTACCACTACTGCTGCTGTTGCCGGTTCTACTGCTCCAGCTACAGAAGTAAAACTACCAAAGCTAGAACTCAGTGAAGAAGAAAAGCAGGAAGAACGTTTGAAAGCACTTCGACTGCCGACGGACGATCTTTTGATCGAAGAAGCACGGGTTGGTATTTTTTATGATTACTTCAGAAGTTAAAAATTTGAAAGATCACATGGTTTTACTAATGTGTAAAATTAAAGTTTTGAGTTTTGTACTTTTAGTAGTTCTGTTGAACCGGTCATCTCTTGGAATTTTTGTTTTTAGAAATTACCCACGCTTGATTCTATCGAAAATCTCAGTGTTAGTGCATCAACGTTTGCTAATGTTTTGATGGTTGATGAATTTATACGTAATTTCGGTCACGTTTTGAAAATTGGTGAGTTGATCGTGTATATCGGAAGAAGTCACTTCAAGAAATTTTAATTGAATTTTGTGTAGGTTCGCTAGCATTATACTGCACTGAAATTCTTTGGGTACACATCGTTATTTAAGAGAATGGATTTTATGAAATTTAAGATTTAAATGCAATACCGACGCTAAACGAGTTCCTGGCAGGTTTACAAAATCATCCGAATTATATCAAAGGTTTCCTTCTACTCACTAAAATTTTACTACAACTGGTCCTCGAATATCCTGGATTGCCATCAGGAATTGCCGGGCGAACTCCTCTCGGACAAGCACTCAAGGATGTGGGTGTCCATCGGGAGAATTACTCAGAATTACTAAAGATGTTTCTTTTATCACGTGATGAAGAGGGAAAAAAGGTATTGTTGGTTTATGTTTTAGCTTACGCTGTAATCTGTTTTTTCAATTCGTTCTGGATTTTTATTATATTTAATCTTAGTTTTTTTAAATACTAAAACCAACTTGATTTAGTAGTATATAATCGAATGTACTGAACTTCAAACTGAAAGTTTATCTGTAACGTTTTGACAAAGTAATTAATTTCAGCTGGGTACCAAACTAGAATACTGCTCGTTCGAGTGTTTAGATCCAGAATCAAAAGCTGCGATTTTAGCCTTTCTATGTAACGAACTGCTGTACTGCCGGAACGTTGTTCGCGATATTGAATCGAATATGGAAGAAATGACGCGTTTGAAAGGTGAAAAGTGGCTACGAGAAGGTAAATCACGTGCTTTGCGAGCAGTACAGACACGAAAGCGAGCAGCGCTAAAACGAGTAAGTTCAGATTTTTCCAAACCCAATTACATTGCCCCCTCTCTGTTTGTTTCTTCTATCACTTGTGCCATTGTCTCGACTTCTTTACTGCGTCGAAAAACTTTGTATTGCTAAGCAAGACCTTTTTTTTCTTAAAATTCGGCGTCAACTTACAACAATGGAATTTGATATACAAGTTGACGTCGAATTTCGCAAAAAATTTATTTTCCAGAGCTTCCTTGGTTGGAATATTCTTAAAGACTAAACTCCACTAGGAGCTTATTATCTATTCTAATTCACGTTTTTCTGCCATGTTTTTACTAGCCATCTTGCCAAATTTTTGTAGTTAAACGTCTCCAGATTCCAAAGAAAATCTTTGTTTAATCTGATTTGCTTATAAATTCGTTGTATAATAAATTACAGCTGAGGCATGATATCAGAGATGATGATACCTTATCTAGTCGAGCTGGTACTCCTGGTTCGGAACCTTCTGATGTTTCCGAAGAAGTGGAACCGGCATTGCAACCATCGCGGCTGAAAGCACTCACACCAGGCCTTGGACAGTGCGATGTGTTAACTGAAGAAGTAGGAAATTGGAGATGATGCTGACAATTCATGAACTCCAACATTTAAATTTGAATTTTTTAGAACTATTCCTTGTTTTTATTTATGAATTTTTCACGTTTATAAAAGCCTTGTGTTGCATCTTGGCATTTGTCGTTACATGCTTAAACCATTTCTAATTTGTGTTTAAGATTCTCCGAAGTTAGTAATGTTGAATGGTTAATAAGTATTTATTACATACTCCAGGAGGAGGCAATGACCGTTGATGAATTGGATGAGTATATCGGAAAGCTCAATAATGAAGCGGAAGAGCTACGTGAAAGGCACAACACATTGATCAATCGTGTGCGCATTCAACCTATTGGACAGGTGTGATTGGAAAACAATCATTTTTTTTCTTAATTCCAAGAAAAGGAAGAAAGGAAAACTGAGATATGTAGAGTAAAGCAACTCAACGTATTTATATTTTTAGGAAAATATAATCATTTCACTTTTCTGTTTATTCCTTTGACAGTAGCGTAATTTTAACTGTCAGGAACTATATTCACTTACAGTACTACTTCATTCTGCATTATCTTTTTTTCTTGGTTTATTTAGCATCGGTTGCTTTATTTAGTTTACTTCCATCCCATGTTTGTTTGGAGTTTTAGATATTTCCATTCTTTACCACTTGCAGGATCGTTTTCATCGTTTCTATTGGATTTTACCACGTCTTGGTGTCCCACTGGTGGAAAGCATTGCTTCATCGGGTCTCCACAATCCAGCGGTTAATGTCGATATCACTTGTCGGCAGGATCCGCCATCCATTGCTGGTTCCTTATTGTTTAGCTTAATTAAGTTTAGATTTGCATAAATGTTCGGTTCATTGTCTTAGCTTATAAAGCAATATAAAATCACCCTTGAATTTTCGCTTTTTGCAGAGGATCCGCAAAATTTTATCGATCCGAATGTCATTGCTTGTTTGGAAGATATCCTGGATACTTTATGTGGCAATGAAGAACGCCCAGACAGAGGAAAAAAAGGTATATTAAAATCTATTATAATACAAGAATTTAAATCGTATTCTTTCTTCAAATTTATGTTCGTTCACATTTGAACTTTTCGTTTAGATCTGCATCATCAAATTTCTTTTTTTGCTAGTACGTTTACGTAGACTGGATAACAAGTGCAAACGTGGTTGGTGGATGATATCAAATGGGAAACTAATGGAGCAACTGCGGGGTGCGTTTCACGGTCGAGGTATACGGGAGCGGGTATTACATCGTTTGCTTATTAAAGACAATTTCACATTC